CCCACTCTACTCAGTATCATTACCCACTCTACTCAGTATCATTACCCACTCTACTCAGTATCATTACCCACTCTACTCAGTATCATTACCCACTCTACTCAGTATCATTACCCACTCTACTCAGTATCATTACCCACTCTACTCAGTGTCATTACCCACTCTACTCAGTGTCATTACCCACTCTACTCAGTATCATTACCCACTCTACTCAGTATCATTACCCACTCTACTCAGTATCATTACCCACTCTACTCAGTATCATTACCCACTCTACTCAGTATCATTACCTTCATTACCCACTCTACTCAGTATCATTACCCACTCTACTCAGTATCATTACCCACTCTACTCAGTATCATTACCCACTCTACTCAGTATCATTACCCACTCTACTCAGTGTCATTACCCACTCTACTCAGTATCATTACCCACTCTACTCAGTATCATTACCCACTCTACTCAGTATCATTACCCACTCTACTCAGTATCATTACCCACTCTACTCAGTATCATTACCCACTCTACTCAGTATCATTACCCACTCTACTCAGTATCATTACCTTCATTGGCATTTTATACTTTATTCTCCTTTTTAGTCGATATCATGTAATTAGGCAAATTTGCCTGTTTGTTCTTCGACTCTAAATAAACAAACAACAACAACAGGTAATTGGACTCCACGGCAGACTTAACACGGTGCTGAACCATGTGGGATACTGACTCGCTTTTTCCACGGTAAACATTGGTATACCGTATTGGTGGACACTTCGACATTCTTCTTTGGATTGGTCACAGTTACATATAGGGAAACCGGCCTAAGACGACCACCGCTCAAGGGACCTTGAAAACGTGGTCTCAGTGACCAGGTGGTCTCCTTATCCAGGGTCCTTTGACTGGAAATAGCATCCCTTGGTGCTTCTTTCAGTGGTCTTCCAGGACAGGTGGTCGCCTTATCCGAGTGGTCGCCTTGACAGGTTTGACTCTACTTGACAATAACAGACACGGGGCATCCTCTGTGACGAAACAGTGCAGTTAACTTCTCCAACTCCTGCAGCAACCGTGAGGATGAACAAGGGCGACGCGCACGATCCACACAGTTACGTAACAAATTGATCTTATACAGTGTTGCCCAAGACGAATCCCAACCACTGTACGAGCCAGTGGCCGTAGGCTTGCGATAGACCGATGTGACAACAGCACCATCAATTGACTTCTCAACGAGCACATCAAGAAGAGGTAGACGATCAGACTCCTCAAATTCACACGTGAAATCCAACATACCATCAACAACCTTCCTCAACAGATCACGAAATTGGAGGCACTGAGCCTCGGACTGAAAATACGAGAAGGAGTCATCGACAAACCTCACATACAATGGGGAGCATCAAACTGACCGGAATCTGGCATTCGTAAAAAGTTAAAAGTTAAAAACCAACAAATATAATTGCCAAAACAGGATTAAGGGGCGAATCCATGGCAACACCATCAATCTGTCGATACATGACGCTACCAAATGAAAACTCTACACCTGACGTTACCAAGCGGATCATTTCGAGGAACGAATCTTCACGTAACTCGCCAGGTGGACATAGTGAGCGATGTTATAGCGCTTCACAGTAATTATCGATAACTTTATCCAAAGGAACATTAGTGAACAAACTGACAACATTGTAAGAGCACATATCAAAGTTATTGGGGAGGGAGTGGTCGCTCAGAATATTGACAAATTCAAAACTGTCATGATCTAAATTATTTTGATAATGAGGAGCGTAGTAACGAGTTTCTTGACGTGTTAAATAGTATTCACCCTGCCCTTCGTTTTACTTGTGAGCATGAACAGTCCAACAAATTTTCATTTCTAGATGTGCTTGTGGAAAAAACGAGTAGTGACGTTCTGACCACCGTTTATCGAAAGCCGACGTTTACTGGTCAGTACATTGTATATGACTCTTATTGTTCGTCTCAATATAAAGTAAACTTAGTGCATAACCTTGTAGATCGTGCGAAGCGTATTTGTTCTGCCTGCAAGCTGCAGGAAGAGCTTGATTTTCTCCGGGCAGTTTTTGTCAAGAACGGGTACCCTGAGTTTTTGTTGCAGAAGTTGTTGAAAGTCGAACAAACTACGAAGGCTCCTATGATTGGTCCTGCTCGTTGTCCCGTTTATTTATGTTTGCCGTGGAAAGGGCAGGAGTCGACTTAAGTTTGTAGTGCAGTCAAGTCTGTTGTTTGTCGAACATACTACGCAGTACACTTCGTCCCAGTCTTTACGAAGATGCGTGCGTTTACGGTGCGGAAGGATGTCCTACCAGCCCATCACCTAAGTCATCTTATTTACAACTTTGAATGCCGACAATGCGCTAGTCGGTATGTTGGTAGGACTGTTCAGCTCCTGAACGCACGCATCAAACAACACACACCACGTCACATACTTCCACCTTGCGCACAACAACAAAGACCGAAGCGAGGGCGACCTAGAAAACAACCAATAACCACACAGCCGTTGCCTACACAACCCGCGGATCCTGGCTCACAGACTGTGCTTGCTCCGCCGTCGCTGGTGGCGGTGGTGGAGGAGAATGGGCGTGGTGGCTCATCGGGTCGGCTTGTATCGCCGCCTTTGCTCCGGCCGTCGGTGGTTCCCTCGTCAGTGCCCCCGGCGGCTTTGGCTGAGGCGGTGCCGCTTGCGGTCCCGGTCCCACTGCCTCCTCCTGATCCTCCGCCATCGGTTCTTGCGGCGGTGGAGCTTGCCAGTGGGAGACCGCGAGCAACACTGACAGCTGCATTAACACTACAAATGCCGACTCAAAAAGACCCACCTTGCATATCAGTAGCTCCCACACCAACACCAACAACGCAATCTACAGCAACCACAACTAATCCACCATCCAAGCCCATAATTGAAAGACCAAGACGATCAACAGCCAACTACAACAGAAGCTACGCACTCAGCGGACAAGGGCGAAAGGAGGGACGTGATAGCAGGGTGACGGCCGAGTTGAGTTCAATGGACCCGGTCAGGCGGGATGGACGAGACAGAGAGAGTACAGAGGAAGCGGAGGATGGAACGGACGGCGGAGGGAGCAGTGAGTCGGAGAGCAGTGATGGGAGTGATGGTGAGAATGCCGGTGAGAGTGTTAGTGTTGTGCGTAGGTTTCGTGGTAGCAAGTCTTCAGTGTACAATCATCTGCTAGCTATTACTGATTGTTGCAATCCGTATTCCGACTCTCCGTTCACTGTATTGTGCCGTGGTCGTCATGGTTATGGACTACAGTTAAAAGTGTTGGAAGCTATCTATCAGCGTCTGTACAAGCCTAATTTGTGTGTACAGAAAGATAGTATAATTGGGTTTGAAATTGTTCAAGTAACGTGTCGTGTTTAGTGCGGCCAAGCTTGGCCGTTAATGTTCTAGGTGTAATGTACTGCTGTTATGTGTTATCACGTTTTCTTTCCTTCCTTTCTCCTTTGTTCATTTCTCGCTTTGATTGTTAAAATTCACACTTCTAAATTTCACTGTTGTTGCTCTTAGTGTTATTTCTCTGACTTAGATTTTCTATAATAGTTCAATTTTTGTTTCAGTGTCCTTTAGTACAACGACGATT